GTCACATTGTCAAAAATATCGTTGTTGCAAAAATACCCTGAAATATTGTGATATTATTTTAGGGCCATATCGCCAAACCCTACATTGCTGTTGAGTTTATCAAATGTATTTTATTTTAGTTTAGTTTTTGGGGCTTTGAGCACCACAAGCCGAGTGTCTAGTTCTTTTATATTGGAGAGAAGGCAGACATCTCTACAGCCAACACACATATCTCCAACACTCAGCAACTCACACCAAAACACTCTAGATTCATGAATAGCACCACAAGTAAGAGGAAAAAAAGGTATTTTTAATTTTGGGGTAAACTGTCCCTTTAACTGGCTTATTCCAACTGGTATAGTGCTATCATGTATTATTTGTTCTAGCAATAGATTTGATTATTTAATAATTTAATCATTAAGTGTTTTAAATGTCAGAAAATACAGGAAATGTCCATCACATTTTCTCAAGACCTTGATTGTTTGGTTCGTGGGACCAAAAGTCGTGGGGTCTCATTTATAAACATTGCTTTTGCATAAAACGAGGCCTGAAAGAGGCGTACGCCACTTCGCACGCAAAAGTTGTGATCTATAAAAGCAGACGTTATAGGAGAAACTTTGACCCATGCTTATGAACATTTTGGAGACAGGAAATTGGCGACACAGATGGTGAGATTGTAGAAACTGTCGAATATATTTTGGGGCCCACCATTTTAGCTTTTGTTTGTACGTACATTTTAAGTATGGATCCTACACATTGTTTTATGAATGAGAACCTAGGACCCAAATATTTAAAATTCAAATAATGTTAATGAGAGAAAAGCAGTAAATCCTCACATTTGAGAAGCTGGAACCAACAAGTTCTTGGCCTTCCTGCTGGAAAAATGACTAAAATGATTAATTTATTACGCGTATGGCCGCCTGTTAGTGTTCTGTTGATGGACTGATTGATTGACGAACCATTTCATCACTAAACCATTGACATGTTAATGTACATTGACACAATGCTGGCTCCTTTATTGATAAGTAAAACTTTCCATGCATGTATTCACAGCCGTTGACGGCTCTCCTCTTGTCTTTAAACAGGCAGTCATGTCTGAGCCCAGTTTAAATGTCTGACGCTGATGTCATCGTCAAAGAGGAGCAGATTCAGACCTACGATATAAGGACCTTATTTGTTCCCATCCTCTCTCCTCACTTCTGTGAACGCTAACAATCTTTTTATTGTGAGGGCTGTGATGAAAGGGCGTCGACATCAGAGCAGGAGGTTGTAATTTTTATGCGTCTGGTAGTGCAAAGAAAGATGTTTGCCAGTGAATTGAACAGTGACACAGCATTTCTTGGAACAGACTGCAGTCTGCAGCGAGGGAACATTTTCTCCTCAGTTAAGGGCAAAACAAGGTCTTCAAAGTCTTTTTTGTTAAAGAAGATTTTTTTTAAGCATAGGGGTATGGATTTGAAAAATTAGAATAATCTAATTTCTTGCTCTCGCCGAAGGAATCCACAAGTGGATAAGATGAGAGAGGTGTGTGTGTATTGGTTTCAGTCAGGCTGGATGAGATCTGACACAAGTTCCCTCTGAAGTTTGACTCACTGCGGCTCAGAAGGATCTGATAAAGCTGCTGCTGCTGTGTGTGTGTGTGTGTGTGTGTGTGTGTGTGTGAGAGAGAGAGAGCGAGAGAGAGATAGAGTGTGGGTGTGTTAGATGCTGATCAGTTCTTTACTGAGTCATTCAAACTGATCCAGTGGACTCTAATTAGTTTCAGTGCTTATGTTTATGTAAAGACTTTTACTTTAACTAGATATTATAAATCCTTAAGATATGAAATGTGTTACGATGATGATGATGATGATAATGCATTTTATTTATAGGTGCCTTTCAAAGCACTCAAGGACATCTTACAGGCACAGTTAAAAAAAGCAGGAATGTATCCATAGATCATAAAATTAAACAATAAAAGTCTATAAGATGACTACACAAAATCCATAATTAATTATAAATATTAGGTATAAAATTATCATCATAAAGTCATCATCAGTGCAGGTCACCATATGTGTGTCTCCTTTAAATCAGACCAAATATGACAGTGTGAAAAGGTGTGTGTTCAGACTGATAAGACTGATTATTAAATTTAAAAAAAACTAATAATAATGTAGTAACTTTAATTAACTATTTAATCAATACCTCATAATATTACATTATTAGTTAAAACTGGTCTGTTTTACAATAACACATCAATCCTGCTGTTATATAAATGTGTATGTCACTAACACATGTTTATTGGCCAGTTGTAGTCTGATCATTAATTAATGTTAGTGTATACTGGACCTGCATTTACCAGGTGGATGCAAGCATGACTCCAAACAAGAGCTCTGAATCTGCTGGATGTATGAATAAACAATAAACAATCTTTTTTTTTTCAGCCTGTTTCCATCGCCCCCAAGTGGCCAAAAAAAAAAAAAAAAAAATCAGTTACAGCAGGTCTGAAAAGAGTTGACAGATTTTCAGATTTATTTAGGAGGTGTGACAATGTGGCAACAGCTGTTGTTGTTTTCACCTTGTGAGTGTGTGGGTGCGCGATCATGGAAAAACTCCTGGTGACAAGTGTTGGGGAGAAGTTACCAGTTCAATTACTAGTTTAACTACAATTTGCTGTAGTTAGTTGGCAGTTTAGGTTCGAACCCAGGGTGGGGGAGCCCTTCTGTGTGGAGTCTGCATGTTCTCCCCGTGTCAGCGTGGGTTTTCTGCAGGTACTTCGGCTTCCTCCCACAGTCCAAAGTCCAAAGGTTAATTGGTGACTCTAAATTGTCTGTAGGCGTGAATGTGAGTGTGAATGGTTGTCTGTCTCTATGTGTCAGCCCTGTGATAGTCTGGTGACCTGTCCAGGGTGCACCCTGCCTCTCACCTAATGTCAGCTGGGATATGGATTTCCTTCCATACAGTATGGCACAGTGCCATGGTGTTCATTTAATGACAATTTCCTGTTATTTGTCTAAAATCACCCCTGATATCCATCCAAGATCTGCGATCAGTGCTATGAATTTCCCAAGAAGTTTAACATTTTCCTGATTCTGCCCCAACAATTGCTTTCTACCACCTTTTTAAAAACACATCCTTGGACTGGCTCAGTGAGGACTGGCCTGCCTTAGTCCCTAAATCAAACACACCTACACTTCAGTCACTGGCAGCTCAGTTATACCTCAGGACTCAGATTTTGATCATTTCCCAGGATGTAGTTTGGGTGTAATTGAACTCCGTTTTGAAACTAGTTTCACATCGACAAGCTAAAATATGAGAGTAGTTAAAATATAGTTGAACTCCTTTTCATTGCGAAGTAGGCAGTAGTTGGGTGTAGCGATAGTGTAGCTACAGTGCAGGATGCAGTCATGAAACTTTACAGGTCTGCAACTGATGTCAAAATCAAAGCAAGAGTTAAAAAATTGGTGTGGCTCAAGTCGGGGGGCAGAGGTAGAAGGCTAGGAAGTAGGGAAGGGCCCTTATTACACTTTCTTTTCATTTAAATTTCATTGTTGTCGGTTGTTGCAAAATTTGTTTTAAGTCTTTGATGAATGGAGTGTTCTGCCTTTATAAAACGCTTTAATGGTGTAAAGCCTTCTACAGACTGAGATTTTAGCAAACTAATAAGTTTAGTGCAGCTACACTGTGCGACATGGATCTAACAAACTTGGGTACGGAGACACTTTTCTCAGTTTAGATGTGGTTTAAAGTGTAAAAAATACACCTCGTCGCCCAGCCTCTCAGGATACCTTGTGTCGGAGTTGCATGTACCCCATGCACACCGTTTGACCATTTTTAAACTTCAAATCCCCGAAAAAGCTCATAAAACCAAACAAAACTGACTTTCTGTAATACATTTCAATGAACGTCCAGGCAGAGAATGTCCCAGTGTATGGGAATGGCTATACGCACTGTGATTGGCTCATCACATTTGAGGGCGGGGCTTAGCCATAGGTCAATTCGACAAGGTTTTCCTCTTTGCTGGAATCCCACACATTTCTCTTAGCGTGTTTTGTCTTCATGGTGAGCTGCTATCCTTCTGTTTGTTTGGGTTTAGCACCATTTCATGCTGCATATCTATTGGTTGATTAGTAGACGTACGTAGGTCGTAACAACAATCACACAGAGAGATGGTCATCCCAAATTTCTGACACTGTGGGAGTCTTATCCCAGGCTGTCTTTGATCACAAGACTGTGACAACAACCATCCTTGAATCTCTCTCACTGTGTGACTTAGCACCACCGTTTGAGAACCATGACCAAATATATCACCACATTTCTTTCACGTTGGTCATCTCTCTAACGTACAAGGTGCCACCTGCTCATCAGATAATCATTCACACACACTCACACATCAATGGCACATCCATCGGGAGCAATCTGGGCTTCAGTGTCTTGCCTAAGGACACTTTGACATGCAGACTCCAAGGGCCAGGGATTGAACTGCCAACCTTCCAATTATTAGACGACCACTCAACCACCTGAGCCACAGCCCCCCTAAAATCTCAACTGTTTGTTCATTGTATGTAAACAGTGACTAAGCAAAATGTAGTTTTCATCAAATAAGAAAAGTTGAAGGATACAGTAACTTTATGTGTGTATGTGTGAAAAATGTTTATTATACGAATATGCTCACAGTAAAGTTATAGTATCAGACTGGGCCTGTGGTTGTACAGAGTAGCGAGTAGTGATACAGTGTGATATCAGTGTTAGGTTAGTAATACTGATGTGAGAGATGCATGCTCTCAGTCTCAGGAGATTTTAAACGCTACAGCGCTCTCTGCTCACTGACCTTCCCTGCAGCTTAAACAGAGTTGAGGGGAGAAGGTGGGAGGGAGGCGAGAATCTGCAGCCACATCTGGTAAAAAGGTTACATATGTTTGTTTGTGCCTCAGGTTCATCAGATACAAGTTTAAAAGTTTCTGCCTCAGTTTCACTGATCTCTGTCCTTCTCTGCTTCACGTTGTCCTCATGCAATCTTTCTCTTTCCTCTTTCCTGGCAGGAATTCGATCCTGGGACGTCGACCTCAAGTGCTGCGACCTTGATCAGCAGCTGCAGCTGTTTATAACTCGTCACTCCGCCCACTTCTCCTCCGAGGTCAGAGGTCAGTGTGATGTGATGCTCTTTGAGCCAATGGACCAGTGATGAGTATAATTAGGGTCGAATATATATGAGAAACAATTAACCATGGAGTCTTTATGGAGCTGATTCAGATGAAACAACTACTAAGAAAGATCCATTCAGCAAGAATTTATCTAAATATACACTTGTCTTATTTGCTGAATTAAAAACAAGCAGCACATTTGACCTGAGATGTTGTGGATAAATGTAAACATGCTTCTCCTGATACAAGACGGGATGAACTCCAAATTATCAGCGACTGACAAAGCTGGTGTCACTTTACAGATCTTATTCTTTGGTACAGATCCTTTTACACTCTCTGGGCTGACCATGAGTTTTCTGATAATATGTCACATCATTTAATGATTTTGAATTTTCCCATCATGCTCCTGGTGCAAAATATTATGCCAAACTCCCTTTAAGAAATATGATATACCAATGATTCCTTACTTGTCTGCAAAAACACATAACTTTAGAAACACAGGATAAAAGGTGCCATATGTTGACAGTATTCTTGTCAGGTGACCCTTCGCTAAGTCCCGCCCCCCAATGCAGACTGGCCTATCATAACGTAGAATTGGGCCGGCTCAGACCAGGGTCAGATTTCCTTCATTTTCAGGCTGGTTTTGTGGATTTGGAGCTAAATGTTGTGCCTGGGGCACGTTGTGTATTAATGATACTCGTTACCTGGAGAGGTTGGAAAAAGATATACGTTTCTTCCCTGTTCCAAAACCAAAATCAAACCCTGAAAAGTGTAGGGTTAGCTAGCTAGCTACTGAAGATATAGCCTACTGAATGTATACACATGCTGCTTTTGCTTTTTAATGATTATAACAGTGAAACAAAGACCGACCCTGCTGTACAGGAACCAGTGAAGGGAAGCAGGGAAACTTTGCTGATATTCAACCAGCTGTGTGTCATCACAGTGTGTGCAAAAGAACAGTGCTTGTTCCCCGACAGTCTGGCCAAACATGGTTCATCTGCACACACTGTGATGCCACACAGCTGGTTCAATATCAGCAAAGTTTCCCTTTATATTCATTGTCTTGTGTGGCATCAGCAGTGATGTGGTGGTTCACTTTTACACTGTGATCTGTAGCCTATAGTTCGGCTTTAGCTTCTAACTATCTTTGTCTTTTTAACCTGTTGTTGCTGCTGAGTCAGTTTGACATCCTGGATATGTCCTTCAAACACAGACTGTAGACCCCTCTGTCTGCTTCTCTCTGGAATCACTCTTTCATTTTCCCAAAAATAGGATAGTATTTCTTCAGGGAGTGCAGTTAATTACAGTGTGGGCTGCATGCTTACTGCGACAGCTTGTCAGACCATCACAAAGGGGCGGGGCTTAGCGAAAGGTCAATGCGGCAAGATTCTTGCACAGATTTGAGTGAACGGAAGCTTTTTGCATTAGTTTTGATAATTTGCTGATGCCAGTAAGCTGTGTTTTTTCCACTATTTCTATTGATGGAATATTTACAAAAGAATTAAAATGAGTCAATTTACGACCAGACATGTCAGAATTATTTATAGTATATACCAGATATATTAGTATATGTGACAAGTACACTGCTGGGATTTTGAATTGCACTAAAAGACACAAATATAAATCAAAACAAATTAAGAGAGTAAACTAAGTTATTTAGATTAAAACATCACACTAGCCTATTTTTTTTATAGTGGAATGATTGATTGACAGTAGTGAGTTGCATTTAGTCGACATTTAATCCATCTGCATTGCATCAAAGCTGAACTGTGTGTATAATCACCATGGTGACTGTTCAGAGAACTGTGGACCTGCAGCCTGAGTGAGTGTGTGTGTGTGTGTGTGTGTGTGTGTGTGTGTGTGTGTATATATGTGTGTGTGCACCTTCCTCTTGTGTCTGTGCTGATTTAGGGCTCAGAGCCCAGGTTGAAAGTACAATAGATGCTGAATAGGGAGTTATTTCAATCATCTTCCAGGTACGGGCCTGATGGGATCACACACACACATACACATACACTTATATACACAAATACACACAAATACCAGGAAACTGACAGCCACAGGAGAGATTATTACTGCGCTGGTGGCAAGTGCTAAGTAGCAGCAGGAGTCAGCAGAAAATGACACAGCATTTTTCAACACAATGGTTAAACAGAACAAATACGTTCAGAGGAAACAGAGGAATTCCTGTGAAACAATAAACATTATTAGTGTCCTCCGTCCATCTGTCATCCAGTCTGTCCTCCTGGGTTACTTCACCACACAGAAACACTGTGAACCAAAGTGAGTCACCTTCATTCGTGCTTACAACTGTTGTTTACTGATACAACTGCTGATATTTTACTGATTAATTCCCTCAGGTCAGCTCCGTCTGCAGCACGTGTGAACAACATTTGATCTTTGAACACAGGATGATGGGAACATACAAATCCTTTTTATTTTCTTACATTTTTTCTAACCTCACGGGACAATAGCATGTTTGACAGAAAACCATTCTGACGTTAAATGGATCTCGGTTAGCTGCATTCGTATTGCTTTGAGAGAAGCTGTATTGATTTCTAAATGGTATATTAGATTTCTAAGGCACTGTGCTGTAATGTAAAATAGCATGGTGGCATAGTGGTGAGACAGGACGCCCTGTAAGTGTCATTGTTCCAGTGTCCGATGACTTTAAGCATCCTCCCTACAGACATGATGCTAAATCCCTGTGAGTCTGCCTGATGCTGGTGTTTGTGTTTCCTTTGGAGATAAACAAACAATATTTCATGAAAACTAACATGTATGGAGTCTTCTCGCTGCCATTTATAGTTATTTAGTTATACCGCAGTTTTTGCTTTAAATAATTACTGATGCAGTCAGTGACATCTGTGCGGTTGGATTTTCTGTTGAGGGTAGGTAGTAGTCAGTATGTAGGTGACAAGCTTTGTCTAGTCAGTGATAATGGTGTTTGTTGATGCAAACTACAGTGTCTGTTAAATTGGGTTTAGGGGTGGCTTTGTCCAACCATTTCTGTAACTTTCCAAAGCCGATTATAAGACATTCACACCCACTTCACCGCATACCCCACAGGTCGTGGATACAAGCAGCCGAAATGAGTTTCCTCAGAAGGGTGGCAGGATTACACCTGAATGCCTGAATGACATTCATCACTTCTCTATATTATCAATCTCCCTTGACTTGTTTGTGATTGTATGGGCCATGTGGCCATGTGGTCGTGATGGTGTAAACTTGGTGATGGATCCGGCGTACCTGCCATCTACGATAATTGTCCAGTGGTGTGCAGACTCCACTTACTCGACACACCGCAGGCGTACGCTGGCGTGGTAATGGTTAGGACCCTTTGTAACTGCAGAGAGAGTGTTCGTATTTTGAGCCATGGGCATTTGAGTACAGGATAGCCAGCTGTCGGACAAATGGGCTTTTGCTCCAGTGGGATATTTTTCGTACTATTGGGGTTTAAAATAATTGGCCATTGGAATGATGGCATGGCATCACTGTTACCCAAGTAGTCAGCAAACTGACCTAGCAACGTGAGTTACGATAAAACTTCAGTAAAATGCCTAGTCCCAATTTAACGCCTAGTCCCTTTTACTAGCCCAGTTTGGCTACACACTTTGACAAATAAAAGGCTGGCTCAGTTTGACACCTGGTCTGGTTACCAAGCAGTTCATTTTCATAGAAGTTCTTTGAATGATTAAAACCAAGTTGTTGGTGGGAACTGCCCATTGGTCCGACATCCCATTGTTCCGACCATATTAAACCCATTGTTCCGAAGTCCCGTTGTTCCGAAACCATCATGATGCCCTGTGGTTAAGGTCTGGTTAGGTTTAGGTACAAAAACCACTTGGTTAGGGTTAGGAAAAGATCATGGTGTGGGTTAAAATGAAAAAGAAAGTGACAAACACATAAGCTGTGAGCCTGCTTCACCTCAAGCCTTTCCCAGCTGACTCAGAGCCAGTCGTGGCGCACCATCAAGGTAGAAATACGCCCGCCGGGAGCCGTTCAGCACCGCGGACCGTCGGACTAATGGGATGTCGGACCAATGGGCTGTCGGACCAATGACATGGACCCGTTGTTGGCTACCCATTTAAGCTAAAGTTAGTTAGCTGCTTAGGTCACACATACAAATATAAATATTTGAACTTTTGTCAACATGTAGATGCTACACATTGTTAGCTCGGTTAGATTCTCCACAATTCAGTCTGCCAGTTCATGTTACTGGAACCATGAGCACCAGAGAAGACCGGAATTCATTCAGATTTACAGCCATGACAAAAGAAATGAAAGAATGATAACTCTCTACCTCTGAAGCTGTCATAAAGTCTACAAAGAATATGTGTTCTTTGATTACCTGGTAAGTTATTCATATTCATTAGTCCATAAGGGTCAGCCAATCAAAAGAATCTAAAGGGTCTTTCATGAAAGTTATGAATATTGTTTTAGCAGGATAAAAATGGTTCTGTGTCGGTATGCCGGGTGCTCTAGTCCTCGGGCACCAAGTGTCATAATGCGCTTTCTCTGATGCCTTGTCTGTCGGAGCTAGATTAAATGACTGATTCATAATTGATATGCTATTCAAAGCCAAGTAATATTTATCCTGGTTCAAATAAAGAATTTAATCATCTTTGCTGAGCAACATTTTTTTGTGAAAGGAATCAAAGGCCTGTCCCATATAGACACCTGTCTTAAATATAGGCCCGTTGAGTTCAGTGATTTAAGCAAACAATAACCTGGGCTATTAATAGAAGTTTTACAGCATACAGCCGTTTCTATCTAAAGTTTGCTAAAATGATCTAATATTTTCTGACAGTAGCTCCTGATCATGCCAGACCAAGTAAAGCAGCAGTGGTAAAACCTCTGCATGCAATACATTGAGCAAGGATGCCTTCAAATGCTCAAGAATTCAACTTTTTATTCATAAGAAAAAAAAGTTATTTCCTCCTTAAAATTGCATTATAACATAGTGTCACTTTTAATAACCAATGTGATGGGGCACTGTA